GTTAATTAGACGCCCGCGCTAACGACCCCGGCGCTGCTTCGTGCCCGGTTCACCAGTGGTGGCTGCGGCTGGGGCTTGAAATCCCAGTCCGGGACTGGGACGGAGTGGTGGGTGGGGCAGTGGAAAACGACCGGCGGAGGGTGGCGGTGGATCCCGTCGGATCCCGTCTGGGAGCTCAGATCCCGGCAGAGCCTGCTGGCGAGTTCGGATCCCGTCTAGGAGCTTGGATCCTGCCAGATCCCACCGCAGAGTTTGGGTCCCACCTGGGAGCTCGGATCCCCTCGGGTCCCACCTGGGAGCTCGAGCCCTGCCGGGGCGCTCAGATCCTGCTAGATCCCGTTTAGGAGCTCGGATCTCGTCAGATCCCATTTAGGAGCTTGGATCCTCTTGGGTCCCACCGGGGGAGCTCCAAGCCCATCGGGTCCTGCCCTCAGATCCCATCAGATCCCACCCTGGAGCTGGGGTCCCTCTCGATCTCAGCTTGGACCCGCCTAGGAAGTTCAGATCCTGTCAGATCCCATCTTGGAGTTAAGATCCCACCAGGACCTCAGAGGCTATCTAGGAGCTTGTATCTCACCAGATCCCACCAGGGAGGTCCAGTCCCATCAGGTCCTGCTGGGGAGCTCAGATCCCCCCAGATCCCACCGGGGAGCCTTGGCCCTGCCAGGGAGGTCAGATCCCATCAGATCCCACCAGGCAGCACCAATCCCATCAGATCCCGCCAGGCAGCTTGAATCCCTTCAGATCCCACCCGGCAGCTTGGGCCCCACCAAGGAGCTCAGATCCTGTCTAGGAGCTTGGATCCTCTCAGATCCTGCCAGGGAGCTTGAATCTCATCAGATCCCACCTAGGAGCCTGGATCCCGTCGGATTCCCCGCAGGTACTCGGACCCCATCCGGGAGCTTGGGCCTCTCCGGGGAGCTCGGATCCCCTCAGATCCCACCTGAGTCCCACCTAGGAGCTCAGATCCCACCTAGGAGCTCAGATCCCACCTGGGTCACACCTAGGAGCTCAGATCCCACCTAGGAGCTCAGATCCCACCTGGGTCCCACCTAGGCGCTCAGATCCCACCTGGGC